ACCCAGCCACCCGCCACATCGCAGCGCTCAATGGTGCGCCAACCGTACCAAGATCGGCCAGCCGAGACGCTCGATCGACCACGCCACCGCAAGCCGTCAAAAAGGAATCTGGAGGCCGACGGAGCTGACGGCTCAGATGACGATGATGCAGCAGCCATGGCAGCAGCGGCACACCAGCCAGCGCCGCAGCCCAAGAGCAAACCCAAGGGCAGACCGAAGGGCAGAGCGAGGGTGGCGGCCAGGCGGCGCCAGCAGCTGAAGGGGATGAGCTAGAGGAGGATCGCACCCTCGATGACGAGGAAACCATACAGGTACACACAAAAGGAGAACACAATCACACAAATGCAAACAATGGATGGGCGCCTTTTTCTCATATAGGCCTTCTCACTTCAGGGTGTTCCGTTGGGCGAGAAGCTCAATTTGAGTGCCCTCATCTGACTTGGACCTCTCCATGCTGCCGGCCGCAGGTGGTGTGGGCTTGGACGACATCGCAGCTGAGATCGAGCAGGAGCGAGGTCTCCAGACCCGTTTGGCGATGAGCGAATCAGCGGCCATCGCATTCGGCAAGAGTGGGGAGATGCCCAAGGAGCCGACTGCCGACAGTGAAGTCGAGGAGGCCGACACCAATGCCGCTGTTGATAAGGGTAGGTGGGAGCAGCACGAGCAACACATACCAGCACACGCCACGTTGCTCGTGCTGCTCCTTCCAGTTGTTGTTGGTGATGCGCAGGCCGCCATGAGGGGGATGGCGGCCGTCGAGCGCTACGTGAGTGCCCACTGTTCGTTACGGCTGCAGAAAGCACTCGGACGACTGAAGAAAGGGATCAGAACAGAAGCACAACAGAAGGGAGACCTCAAGCGTGCTCAGTGACTGAGTTTGAGTGAGTGAGTCGTGCTGCCGTACCTCATCTAGGCAGATCTGTCGTTCATGGCTCTGCATCGTTGGTGCATGACTCTGTCCATCCATACATCTACTTTTTCGGTGAGATCGGCGCTAGTTTGCCTCACAGGAAGGCCACCATCTGCCGCTGGCATCCTCAAAAGTGACTGAAAGGCTCCAGAAATCACCCTCACGAGCGATCGGCGACCTTTTCCGTAAATCCATATCATCCATCGTTTTTCGTCGTTTCAGGGTCGTTTGAGCGGGGAAAAAAGAGTGAATGTGATGGAGGGTGGCTCTGGTGAGTCATTCAGGGGCTCGTCGCATTTGCGAGCTTGACTGAGAATTTTTGTGGCGAGAATGGCGGCGAGATGTCAGATCATAGCCGTCTCCGAGACAGATTTGTGAGAATAAGGGATATCAAACAGTTTCCGAGCCGGCTGCCCTCATTTCTCACTGTTTGCCCCACATCTCCCTCGTTTCTTTTCATTTTTTGGCGGGAGTGGTCGCGCGCCACCCGCCCGAGGCCCACGCAGCCCACGCAGCCCACCCTGCTCCCCGTTTGCGAAGAGGACGAGTCCACCTGATCGGCCCTGACCCTCCCGTCAGACGCTGACATCACCCTGATGCGCATCTTGCATCCCATTTCCTCTTTCCGTCCCAGAGCCTCCCGGCGCAATGTAGTCGTCTGCCTGGCCTTCCCAAGGCACCCACTACTGCGTCCGCCGTCTGCAAGGTCCCCAAGTACAGCGCCGGGGCGACCGATGATGCAGACCCGTCGTCATTCTTCTGGGTCTTCGAGGCCAAGGCGCCGCACGGCGAAGGGTCGGACTTCAGACGGCGCCTTGCCAACGACACGCGAGCGCTGCTGGGCGAGGAGGTGCCCATCGAGTACATGTCGGAGGAGCAGGCTGAGGGAACACACCTGCCACGGCTGCCTAACCCGCCGGTCACGAACCTTGACCGGACGCATCCATCCATCCATCCATCTATCTTTTGTGTGTGTGTCTGTGTGTATGTGTGTGCAGGAGGCACTTGCGGCTGGGGCTGCTGCTGCTGCTGATGGTGGTGGTGGTGATGATGACGATGGCAACGAGGATGAAGTCGAGGACGAGGAGGAGGTCAGCGGAGAGAGATGGGATAGGATAGGATGGGATGGGATGGCACACATGCGCTCTTGCGTGCGTCGTGTGTGTCGATCTGTGTGTGAATGGGCGTGTGTGTATGGTGACAGGATAACGACGACAAATACGAGGACGAGAAGGTCAGCCAGACACCTCACGCACCGAACCATGCACCCTTGACATCCCCCTCCCTCTCTGTGTGTTGAATGAGTGCAGGCGGTCAAGGCCAAGTCGAAAGCCAAGCGAGCGGCCAAGCGCACCGATGACCCAGGTAACTGCCGACTCAGAAAGAACTGATGCTTGCAGCAATGAGAGACATGCACACGTGTGTGTGTGTTTGTGTGAAAGAGTGGAAGCCCAAATGCCTTCGCGAACAAGCCAAGGGCCTCCCCAAGCACTTCACAGCCAGAATATTTCATTTTGTATTTTGTTAGACTGCTTTGCAGCTATCTATGGGTATTGTCCATGTGTGTTCGCAGTACCAGAGTGACGTCCGGGGCGTCTCTTACAAGAAAAGAGACCACTCCTGGATCGCGACCTGGTACGAGTGGGGCCGGCCAAAGTGCGCCAGGTTCTGGGTGGGGGGCATCACCCAGACAGACAGACAGACAGAGAGATGGGTGTCGTGTGATGCGGATGAGTCCACGCAAGACACACCTCCATGTGCAGAGTCGGAGAGACACGCAGGGCGCCCCTCACCCTGTGCGGCAGCGGCAGCGGCAGGCGAGGAGACCATGGGAGAGGCAGACCAATCAAACGGACAGGTGGACTTGACTGACACACGACGCCGATAGGTCACATCGCACAATCATGTTGTGCCTTGTGTCTCGTGTCGTGTGTGTTTTGTGTGGTTAGGATGAGTCGGTTAAGGACGGTGACGAGGGCATGGGTGTGGTCAAGGCCAACACACACCATCAGACAGACACGCACCCTCCCTCTCCGTCCCTCTTTCCGTGCCCACCAACACCAACCTGCCCGCTCAGTATATTGAGCTGGCCTCGGTGCAAGCCCCAGTCGCGCAGGAGGAAGCGACGAGGGGAGAAGGGCCTCTGGGGATGGCTGCGGCTCCTTGTGGTGCTGGGCGATTGAGACTTCCCCCAGCGGCAGCAGCAGCAGCAGCAGCAGCAAGAGCTCGATGTCCTCAAAGTCCGTTCTTGAGAACACGAATGAGAACAGTAAGACATGTCTGTCCACACAGATGTCGACACTCACGAATGGGAACACAGCGAGAAACGTGTGTTTTCACCTCTTTTTGCGCATCTGTCTGTCCGCGTGTGTGTTGATTCTACGATCAGAGGTCTAAGGCCCACCTGGTGGACAAGCTAGAGCGCGAGCTGCGCATCCTCAGCAACCAGGTCAGGTTCGTCCTCGCCGTCGTCAACGAAGAACTCGAAATCCGCAACCGGTCGGTGGGTCCTCATCCACCACACACACACACGGACGGGCTCACCTGCACATGGGTTGATGTAATGTGTGTGTGTGTGTGTGTTTGTCGGTTATCAGGAAGCGTCAGTTGCTGTTGGACGAGCTGCACAACTTGGGGTTCGACGCCATGAGTGCCATCCTGGAGGGGGCCCACAAGGGGCCCGAGGGCGACGTCCCTGACCCCGACCAAGTAGACAAGGAGGTCGGTGCACCACCCACCCTCCCACACACACCAACCACACACAAAGCCAGACAGGCAGCTGTGTGTGTCATTGTGCTTGTGCTTGTGATTGTGTGTGTTGTGTGCTTAGGATGAGTCGGTTGAGGACGGTGACGAGGGCATGGGTGTGGTCAAGGACAAGGACTACGGCTACCTCCTCGGCATGGCCATGTGGAACCTTACACAGGAAAAGGCAAGCCACGCCATCCACACAACCACACACACACACCATTAGACAGACGCCCAGTCTCTCTCTCCGTCTCTCGCTCCGTGTCTGTGTGTGTGTGTGAGTAGTCAGAGGAGTTGCGCAAGCAGAAGGGCTACAAGGAGACCGAGCTCGACACGCTCAGGAAGACCACCGAGCACCAGCTGTGGGAGAAGGACCTCGACGCCCTCGATGAACAGGTAAGGTACCCCCTCCCTCCCTCCCTCCCTCCCTCCCTCCCCCACACACATACATGTGTGTGTGTGTGTCTGTGTGTGTGGTGTGTGGTTGTCAGGATCGCATTGACGAGGACGATCCCGCAGCCGAGTTGAACGGGAAGAAGGGCAAGCGCAAGAAGGTCATGTTCTCACGGCCCAAGGGCAAGGCCGCCAAGAGACGCTTCCCCGCCGCCAACAAAGCCAGGGCCAAAGCCGCCAGAGCCAAGAAGAACAAGGTCGATGGCGTAAGCAAGCCCGTACACCCATGCATATCCTCCCACGCACACATACACACATGGATGCATATGTGCAGACATTTATATTCTGTCTGTCTGCTTTTCTGTGCGCGTGTGTGTCTGTGTGTCTCAGTTCACGGATTTCAGCGACAGCGACGAAGAAAACCAGCTACTCTGTAGTCGCCTCCCTGACCCTCTGGCCAATGTCAGCTTCCAATCCATCCATCCATCCATCTATCCTCTGTGTGTGTGTGTGTGTGTGTGCGTGTGTGTTCGACAGGGGCAGGATGGCGGCAAGGACAAGGAGAAGGAGTCGAGTGAGGAGAGAGACGCCCACATGAAGCTCGTCGACGCCGACGACGACCATGACGACGACCATGACGATGACATGGGGCAGGGGGCTGGTGCTGCTGCTGGTGGCGGCAAGGCGGCAAAGGCCAAGGCCAAGGCCAACGACAAGAAGGAGCAGCACAAGAAGGACAAGCGCGAGTCTCTCCTCGACGACAAACTAGTACACACACAACACACACACAGTCCACACACAAAGTGCAGGTGTGCCTCCCTCTCTCTCTCTCTCTCTCTGCGTGTGTGTGTGGTCAGTTCGCTGACGATGACGATGAGGATGTCGACGAGGACCAAGACGGGGACGAGGAGAGTGAGGAGGTCAGAAAATAGAAAGAAAGAAAGAAAGAAAGAAAGAGAGATGAGATGCCACATACATGCGCTCTTGCAGGCATCGTGTGTGCTGATGCATGTACATGTGACATCTCATTTCCTCTTTCCGTCCCTCCCGGTGCAGCCGGCTAAGGACGATGATCAGAAAGGTATGCGCCCATCGATGCTTGCAGCAATGAGAGACATGCACATGTTTGTATGTGTGTGTTTGTGTGAAAGAGTGGACGCCAACATGCCGGCGCCGACAAGCCAAGGGCATCCCCGAGTTGCAAACGGGGACGTTGGTACATCTGATGCTCGAAAAGAGCGTCTGGTAAGTGCAGGAAGGGCGAGGAGAGAGGGAGACGGAAAAGGGTTCACCCTCATCGCATCGATGTGTGTCTCGCCCCTGCAGGTTCGTGATTGTCACGAATGTGGGCCAGTTGCCTGTCGGATTGCTGGCTGACCTCACCCACGACCCTCGCTCCAAAATTGCGGTCATTGGTACAGATGCGTAGCAGAAAGATCGATCGGGCGCTGCCTCTTTTTGCCACTGTACTCGCTGTCTCTTGCAACAACGAGGAGCGACTACGAGGAGGACCAGCAGCAGAAGAAGAAGAAGGCCAAGGAGAAGAGAGAAGACAATGCGGGCCGTTCTTTTGTTGTGTGTCAGATCGGCTGCTCATCGCTGCCTGCATTTTATATCCTGATGTCTCATCCGCTCGCTGACCGTCTCGTATGTGTGTCGTTCGTGCCGTATTGGCCTGTTTGATTATTCGAACCTTTTACGTCCGTGATCTGCATGGCACGTGGTTGGTTGGTTATTGTGTTTAATGAGACTCGTGTCTGTAACCCCGGAGGGGATCCTGTCCATTTCACGCACTAAAATAGCAACATCCTCATGGATAGAAGCATGCACACGGTTTATCTACCCATCCCACCCACCCACCCACCCACTCGACATGCACGTGCCACCCTATGACGGTCAGAAGACAGCCAGACATATGCATCACGCACAGAGGCTACTTTCATATACCAATTCGTCGTCTGCCCCTGAATTCAATCCTCCTGGTTCACACGAAGCGGGACACCCCGCCCTGACTCTCGGACGCGATCGGGGAGATCATTCACTGGATCTTCATCAAGATGATGAGTCACGTCATGCAGATCTTGCTCGGATGCGACGAATTGAGTCCTGTGATGGCTTCTCTGGACGGCAACGAGTGCAAGCGCAAGAAGGTCGGCTTCGTGCCGCCTAGAGGGGCCAATTGAAAGCCTCCTAGGATGTCCATCTGCGTCTCTCTCTCTCTCTCTCTCTCTGTGTGTGTGTGTGTGTGTGGAGTAATGGAGACACCACCTTTGGTTGACACCTTAGCCTGCTTGGAGAAGATGGATGCAATCAAGCGCACAGCTGAATGCCAAGTGTCAATGTCTCATGCACCACTTCCGTCCATCCATCCATCCATCGATCTATCCGTCGGTCCATCGATCACCACACCCGTCCATCTACCCACCGCTGCACTCAAACTAACGACCCCAGCCAGCCAGCCCGCCTCTCTGTGATCTTCGTCTTTCTTCCTTTCTCGTGGTGCGGACCACCAGACAGCCAGCCAGACAGCCGCACAGACGCAACCGATCTTCTCTACTCTGCAAGTAGGTCAAATGCAAGGCACGCACCAGGCAGCCACGCAGTCAGTTTGGACACACAGACACACTCTTCCTAAGAGTGTCCACCGAGAGGAAGTGTCTCAAGCCCACCACAGGCACAGAGACACCCGCGAAAGTGCGCGATGGGCCAGCAGCAGACAATGGCAGCCAGCCAGCCAGCCAGCCAGGTGAAAGACATAAACACTGATAGACTAGATGAGTGTGTGTGTTTTTGTGTATGTACGCCCGGTGCCGAACTCAGACCCCATCGCCTCTCGTCACACGCGGGCTCTCTGGACCTCTGCGACGTACCAGAGACATTCCCGCTCGCAAGTGTGCGCTTCGAGAGGAAAGGCCCCAAGCCCACCACAGAGGGAGAGAGACACCCGCAAAAATGCGCGAGGGGCCAGCGGCAGACAAATCCAATTGTGGTATGTCGTATGTGATGGTGGGAAAAAAACTACGAGCGGAGTGATAGCGAGCGAGAAGGGGGGACGGGTGAACGGACATGGACACACTACTGACAGACAGACAGACAGACAGACACGATTAGAAAATATATCGCGCGGGTGCACCGTTGTGCGCATCTCTCTCTTCATTCCTCCCAGCGACCGACACACAGACAGACAGGGAGGTGATGATGATGGCATGGTGGTACGAGAAATGTGTGACGTGTGTCTGTGTGCAGGCAGGCAGGTAGGCAGGCAGGCAGGTAGGTAGGCAGGCAGGCAGCGTAGCAGCAGCCTATCCACCCATGCACTCCTCCTCCATCCATTCCACCCACCCAGCCGTGACGCAAAAGACCTGACTACCACGTTTGCCTCTTCACCACTGAGTGCACACGCATTCGTGTTAGTTAGTTATGTGCCGTGGAAGTGGTTGCTTGATTGACTGACTGGTGGTGGGGAAACAAGGAAGCGCTTGTGTGTGTGTGTGTGTGTGTGTGCGATGAATGTGTGGGCAAAAGGCGTGTTGGGACACAGACAGAACACACAGCACAATCAGCCAGACGTGTCCACAGTGACACCCCCAGACAGGCAGACAGACAGACAGTCGGGCAGTCGGTCGGTTGGCACCACATGCCGTCACCACGGGGAATGGTGGACAGGGGTGGCGGGCAGGCAGGAAGGCCGACTCTCTCCCTTGACCATCTATCCATCCGTCTGTTCAGCACAAGACACCGTAGGCAGCCAGGCAGGCAGGCAGGCAGACAGTCAGCAGATACAGGCCTCTCTCTCGTCGTAACCCTCACTCACCGTCCAGCCGTCCGTGAACTCATCGAGAGTGCTTCTGTCGGTGTGCGATGGCGCTCGCCTATTATCATGCAAAGAGAAGAGGCACGCAAATTGAAGAGGCCGGCTGGCGTCTCTATCACGTGGGCTGTGTTGTTGGCAAACTGACCTTTGCCCGGGCGAACCCAAGTGCCTTGATCGAGAAAAGCTTGTACCTGCGCCGGCCGCTCTCGTACCAGGTGGCCATCCAGCCATGATCTTTCTCCTTGTAGGTGACTCCACGAACGTTGCTCTGATACTGCGAGCACACACACACAGATGGCTGCGAGGCAGTCTAACAAAATACAAGATGAAATACCTTCACCTTCTTGGCCTGCGTGCATGTGTGTGTAGGGGTCCAGTCTCCTAACACACACACACACACACACACACACACACGTGTGTGTGTGCATGTCTGTCATTGCTGCATGAGTAGGCACATACCGTCCTCGTCCTCGTCATCGCTGTTTTTGTGTGTGCGCTTGGCCGCCTGCACTCATTCGACACACAGGGAGGGAGTGAAGGAGTGGGCTGTCACATGTGCATCGCTGGTCTGTGAGATGTGGCTGACCTTAGGTTTCGGTTCGTAGTTCTCGTCGTCATCCTGCCACTATACACACACATCAACACACAAGATACATGCAAGAGCGCATGTCGCATCCCATCCCATCTGTCTGTCTGTCTGTCTCTGTCTCTCTCTGGCTGACTGACCTCCTCCGTCTCCCCATCTGCGTCTTCATCCTCGTCTTCGTCGTCGTCTTCATCCTCGTCGTCCTCGTCGTTTTCGTCGTCCTCGTCGGGGTACTGACAACACACACACATCACACCCCCCAGGAAAGAGGGAGACAGCGAGGCACACATGCACTGTGTGCCTTCTCTGTGTGTGGTAAATGGTGTGAATGGTGTGAATGTGTGTGTACCAGGTCATCTTGGACGAGCGATTTGGCCTTGGTCTTTCCCTTGGCAGCCGCCGCCGCCGCCGCCGCTCCGAGCTCCTCATCTGACATACGTGTGCACATGTGTGCTCATTTATCAGCTCTCCGAGCTGGCACGTACCTGTGGCGGTCCACCTGATGCACCTCGCCTGCTGGCCGGCCCCTGTCACTGTAGTTATCTCATAGCGACCTCCACTGTCGCAGTCGCTCTCACGCACGGCGTCCAAGAGCTTCTTCAGCTCAGCAGCTTCGTCCGGCTTGAAGTTCTGATGGTTTTGGTGGTGTGGGGGGGCCAGGACCTGTCGTTGGTGAGGGGAGCAGCGGGGCCGAGTCTGATCTGCGGGTGGCGGCTGAACACACTGACACACACGCCCACAGAGAGAGAGAAAGAGAGAGAGCGACGAGTGCGTGAGAGGGTGTGTGTGTGTGTGTGCGTCTGCGTCTGCGTGTGTGTGTACTGACCTCCTGTGGTTTGCCCCTGATGTCATTGCCCAGGGAGGACATCTCGAGGTCGGCCACCTTGGCTCCGCGGCCGGCGGGTGTGACAGTGTTGTTCTCCTGTCGGGCCCCGGGAGGGCCGGTGATTTTCTTGTTTGTGAGTTGCTTGGTCTCGTCCAGGTGGAAAATCTTATACTTGGGCGTGGCATTGGGATCTGAGGCATAGCAAGAGAAACACAGGCCGGCATATGACAGCTTTTTGCAATGAGTCGCTCAGTGGATACTATACCATCAGAGGCGCTGCTGCTGCAGCTGAGTGAATGTGATCCATTGGTGTCCAGGCCTGCAAAAGACAGCGAGTACAGTGGCAAAAAGAGGCAGCGCCCGATCGATCTTTCTGCTACGCATCTGTACCAATGACTGCAATTTTGGAGCGAGGGTCGTGGGTGAGGTCAGCCAGCAATCCGAGAGGCAACTGGCCCGCATTCGTGACAATCACGAACCTGCAGGGGCGAGACACACATCGATGCGATGAGGGTGAACCCTTTCCCGTCTCCCTCTCTCCTCGCCCTTCCTGCACTTGCCAGATGCCCTCCTTCTTTTCGAACTTTTCCAGCATCAGATCTAGCAACGCCCCCGTGTGCAGCTCTCCGCCGACGGTAGCGTGATGAAACATAAGCTGCACCTCATTACTGCCCCCCCAAATGGCCTCGCAGATGTCCCGCAGCACATTGGCCGCACCACACACACCGTCGACAGGCCGTACTCGTGGCTGGAAGGGCTGCGTGGCTCTGTCGAACGTGGCGATGTGTGTGTTGATGGTCTTCTCGACGAGACGCTCCACTGCGATGGCGTCTTGGGGGGTGGAACGGACGACAACAAGGTCTCCACAGTTCACACGGGAGCACCTGCGACGCACACAGGCAAAGGCAGGCCTCATTTTGGGGGCGACTGAGAGAATGCACATGCCACGCAACCACCACTGAAGAGAGCGTCCACAGTGTCATGCATCGTGGAACGCGTGACACCCATGAGACGGTAGGCACCCCCGAGGCACAATAGAGCCGCTCAATGCGCATGAGGTTGCGGGAGTGTGCGGAGGAAGAAGTGGTGCATTTCCCGTGGGGCTCACCGTTCTATGATGGCTCGAAGGTCTTCCATGACGTCTGTCGGGTGGGGAAGACTCCGAACTTCTCCCCCCTTCCCGCACTTCTTAGCTCGCACGATCGGCAGCCTCCCCATCTGAAGGATATGATGTCGCTGGATCTTCATCAAGGTGATGAATCACGTCATGCAAATCTTGCACGGATGCGACTAATTGAGTCCTTTTCTTCTCGCAGGTGAGATGTGAACGATGGGCAATACCCTCGCTGCATTCGCGCCAACTCAGCCACTCCCTCATCATCGCCCTCCCTTCGTCAGACCTCTCGTTCAGCCTCTCGCCCGACGGAGGCCCGTGCGGCGCACCGACGCTCCCATCGCATGTGCAGCCTCTCTGGAAGAGCATGAGTGGCGGAGATCTGCCCGGCGCCACCGAAGGGACGTGCTGGGACTGCTAGGGATGGAGAACGAAGGCGACGAGGTGTCTGTGAAGCTGCACCACGACCCAGCCCATCCCATCTTCAACTTCATTCTGGAGTATTACGGCTTCAACCACGCTGATCTGCATCGCTACTCGCCTGGCTCGTGCATCTTCCTCCAGGGCGCTCTGGCGGACGATCCCAGGCTGCACAGAAAAGCATTCGTGGCGGCCGAGGGCGGCGGGTTCTTCGACCCTGGCCTCATCCCAGAGAAGCGCTTGGCGTGGTTCAAGTGGATTGCGGAGCTGCTGCGGGTGACAATGGACCGTGAGCCGTCATTCAAGTGCTTTGGTTGGAGGACACAAGGCGTGGATGAGAGGGGGAAGGCATGGTTGGGTGTCTGTCTGCTTGTGCGCAGGTCTTCACGAGTGGGCGATGCTGTATCGCCCGGCTGCAGATGAGGACGCGCCTGTCAGCCGGTTCCAACAACTGCGACTGCGACTCAGCCAACAAGAGCTCAACATGGTAGGTGCTAAAGTGACCCGCCCCAACACAACACAACACAACACAGACATCACAATGCCGATGTGTCCATGCTCTGTGTGGGCGCAGGTCGTTGAGGCCGGCCTGCTTTCGTGCACTCACTATGACGCCTCGCGCCACTTCCCACACTCCGCCCTCCCCCTCAACGCCATCCAGCCGCCGCCATCCAAGTCAAGACGGCTCAATTTGGAACAACCTGGGTGCGTCCACACCAACATGGACCTCTTCAAGTGGGCCGTCAAGGCCGTCCCATTCATCCCCAGCGACATCGTCCGGGAGGCCCTCAGCATTGCCATCGAGGCGCGGGTCCTGGACATGCGTGCGAGTCCGTATGACCTGACCAAGGTGTCTCTGCAAAGGGGCTCGGCGGACTTTGATGCATCGCCTGTGAGGGTGGAGACGGCTGGAGGGCGGGAAGACTATCAGCTGATGCAGTGGGCGATACATCGGAGGGCGAAGCCTCTTCGCGAGCGGCTGCTACACCATTACGAGAAGATGCTGACCGACGCTGCTGGGCGGAGGAGGCCGTGATTGATGTGTCTATTGAGTGGTCGGAAGATGTGTGTTTGCTATATTGAAGCTGCGTGGAGAGTGTCGATATCAGCGTGGCAGCTGCATGCACGTGAGTGAGATGGACGGAGGCGATGGGACCAGGTTGACCGACAGATTCATTCAGGCTGTGCATAGTACATTGTTGCGATGTCCTCGATCCCCACTTTATTGGCAAAGAAGAAGAGGTATGATTCAGTAATGGCTGAATGCAGCCACTCGACGAGTTACAGTAGTCACCTCTCAATTTGGTGGACTGGGCGGGCGGCATGTGACACGCAGCTATCAAATCACACCTCACAAATGGATCCATTCATTCGTTCGCCTGCACTGCCGGTCGGTGCATGTCTGCCCACACGCACATGTACTAGTACTCAACACAACACATCTCACACACGTGTGTCACAGCAACACTAGAGTGACCGAGATAGAGGCTAACAGAGATCCGTGGCGAGAATTCGCCTTCTCGACGAGACGCGTGGATTATTCCCGCCATTCCATTTTCCGCATCGGCTCAAGCTCATGGCCGTTACAACAGCCGTCGGCGCAGGTGCGGCAAGCTTTGCCCGTCGGCCAGTGAAAGCAATCGGCTTCAAGCGGCGCGCGATATGGCTGCGCTGACCGTATTGCTGAAAGTGTGTGCATGCGAGCGATGCTGGAAGTGGCGGCCGGTATGTGAGATCGCCACAGACGGTGGCTGGCCCGCGGACGAGGGCGATTCGGTATGAGAAACCACGCTTTCACTCTGCCCTTCTCTCTCTCAGTGCACGTCCCTTCATGTACATGTGTGTGCCAGGCAAGCGATCGAAGAAGCGAAGCGCAGGGGGGCCAAGCTCTCATTGCCCACGGCCAAGGCCGCCAAGGGCCGCCTCAGCCATCAACAAAGCCGAACCCTACAAGAAGGTAGACGACGACGTGAGCAAGCCAGACGTCCATCCTCCCCTTGCTCATCCACCCACACACATGGATGCACGCATACACGCACCTCCGTGTGTGTGTGTGCGTGTGTGTGTAGAGGAGTACCTGCCGACACACGGGGGGATCTGCATTTGCGAGCTTGGCTGAAAATTTTTGTGGCGAGAATGGCGGCGAGATTTCAGATCATAGCCGTCTCCGAGACAGATTTGTGAGAATAAGGGACATCAAACAGTTTCCGAGCCGGCTGTCCTCATTTCTCACTGTTTGCCTCACATCTCCCTCGTTTCTTTTCATTTTTCGGCGGGAGTGGTCGGGCGCCACCCGCCCGAGGCCCACGCAGCCCACCCTGCTCCCCGTTTGCGAGTCCACCTGACCGCCCCTGAACCTCCCGTCAGACGCTGACATGCCCCTGATGCGCATGTTGCATCCCATTTCCTCTTTCCGTCCCTCCCGGCGCAATGTAGTCGTCTGCCTGGCTTTCCCAAGGCACCCACTACTGCATCCGCCGTCTGCAAGGTCCCCAAGTACAGCGCCGGGGCGACCGATGATGCAGACCCGTCGTCATTCTTCTGGGTCTTCGAGGCCAAGGCGCCGCACGGCGAGGGGTTCAGACGGCGTCTGGCCAACGACACGCGAGCGCTGCTGGGCGAGGAGGTGCCCATCGAGTACATGTCGGAGGAGCAGGCTGAGGGAACACACCTACCACGGCTGCCTAACCCACCGGTCACGAACCTTGACCGGACGCATCCATCCATCCATCCATCTATCTTGTGTGTGTGTGTGTGTGTGTGTGTGTCTGTGTGTATGTGTGTGCAGGGGGCACTTGCGGCTGCGGCTGCTGCTGCTGCTGATGGTGGTGGTGATGATGATGATGACGATGGCAACGAGGATGAAGTCGAGGACGAGGAGGAGGTCAGAGGAGAGAGATGGGATGGGATGGGATGCCACACACATACGCTCTTGCGTGCGTCGTGTGTGTCAATGTGTGTGGGTAAATGGGCGTGTGTGTTTGGCGGCAGGATAACGACGACGAATACGAGGACGAGACTTCCAAGAAATCCAAGGTCAGCCAGACACCTCACGCACAAAACAATGCACCCGTGACATCCCCCTCCCTCTCTGTGTGTTGAATGAATCAGACGGCAAAGGCCAAGCGCACCGATGACCCAGGTTACTGCCGACTCAGAAAGAACTGATGCTTGCAGCAATGAGAGACATGCACACGTGTGTGTGTTTGTGTGAAAGAGTGGAAGCCCAAATGCCGCGGCCCACAAACCAAGGGCCCCCGCAAGCACTCTAAAGCGAGAGTATTTCATTTTGTATTTTGTGAGACTGCAGTCTTTGCAGCTATCTGTGTGTATTGTCTATGTGTGTTCGCAGTATCAGAGTGGTAAATCGGGAGTGCTCTACCACGAGAAAGACAACGCCTGGATCGCCAAGTGGACCGAGAGGGGCCGGTACCGCTACAAGTCGTTCTGCATCAATTCACTTGGGTTTGCCGACGCGCTGGTCAGTTTGCCAACAACACAGCCCACGTGATAGAGATGCAAGCCGGCCTCTGCAACTTGCGTGCCTCTTCTCTGTGATCAGTTCGCTGACGATGACGATGAGGATGTCGACGAGGACCAAGACGGGGACGAGGAGAGTGAGGAGGTCAGAAAGAAAGAACGAGAGAGATGGGATGCCACATACATGCGCTCTTGCACGCATCGTGTGTGTTGATGCATGCACATGTGACATTTCATTTCCTCTTTCCGTCCCTCCCGGTGCAGCCGGCTGAAAACGAGGATCCAGAAGGTATGCGCCCATCCGTGGATGTGTTTTGGCGCGTGCGACCAACTCAGTGCTAAAATCGCACCCAATAACATCACCTGGTGCACGGGTTTCTGGCCAACCAGAGTCGGGTTATTTCGGTGGCAGCAAATACATCGAAGCTCATGAGGTGGAGGTGCTGCATGCGCTGTCGACACGAGCCACGGAGCCCGAAGAACCTATCACAACGACAGTCGCACCTGCATCGACGACAAACGGCTCTGCGTCACCGCTGAATGGCTCGTCCCTGTCAGCATCAGAATATGAGGGCCTCCGTGGCCTCCTGGGTGACAACAAGAACCTGACTTCGATCTACCGGTATGGCTGTCGGTCCAGACGGGTGCAGCCATCTAGGCCACAGACACGCGTGTGTATATGATGGCTGTGTGTCTGTGTGTCTGATTCGCCGGACTTGTGTATGTGTGTGGCTGGCAGGTCGTCTGTGCACACTGATCTGCTCGGCCGCTTGCGCGCGACACGTGGTGATTGGTCGGGCGGCCGTGGGTGGCCCTGGTGATGAGACGTGAGACACACAGCTCTCTTGGATGGACTCCGCTTTGCCGTCTCGTGTATGCCTCAGCTGGGTGGTCTGGCTGGTCTGGCACATACACCCACTGGGTGTTCCTTGTCCGCAACGCCCCGTACGTGTTCGGCGCCTATATCAGAGACCACAAATATACAGGCGTCGTAGACTCTATCTTGGACGGCCAAAGTAGCGAAGGATATTTCGAGCTTGGGGAAGATGATATGTGGCACTTCTCACTGGCGGGCCACTTCGATGGGCCGACAAAAATTCGCCCACCACTTTGGGTCGAAAACTACGGCACGGCCTACTTGGGAGTTGATACTAGACAAGTTAACATTCAGCTAACGGTGCGCTGGGAAACATCAACCTGCAGTGGGTTGAGCTTTACTGTTGGTGAGAAAGGACATGAAGGGTATGGGACGGACATCGATTATTCTTGTTTGCGGGGTGATTCTGCCGATGTTCGCCGAAGCCAATTTAGCATCCATCGTAAGCGTGTGCCTGAGGACTACAAGGGGGTGAGGAGCGACTTGGGCGATGCTTATCTTGGCGGCGCGCTCGCCTTCACGGCTGATGAGGTGGAGGTGCTGTATTTGCTGGAGGAGGACCCTTTACCTGCACTGGATAGCAGTGGGGGGACAAGTATGAAGGGGTGGTCACTGTGGGGCGGGGTGATGATGGCGATGCTCATCTGCCAGTGGGTGGCCATGTGAATGTTACAAGCCGTGTTTTCAGCGGTCAGGCGTTTGCAAGTGTGTGCTGAGGGAGGGTGTGACCCGAGTGCTGTTTAATGAGATGATGGTCGTTGGCCTCGTTCATGTGTGTGTGTACCGGTTGTTTGTGAAGCAAGTCGAGAAAGAAATACCGAAATACCTGTGCGCAGGTATACTGGGCGGGGCGTCTGTGTGTGGCCAAGAGAGCTGCACGTGTGTGTGTGTGTGTTGGCTGATGTCGTGAGCCATGATGGGACAGAGGTCACGTCATGCTCGCCTTATGCTCCTTCACGTGTGTCGCGTTTGTGAGGCCGTGATGTCTTTCCTGCCTGTTTGAAGTGGGTAGGACGTGTCTGTATGATAAGTAGACAGACTCACTCGCGTGAGTATCGTGACAGTGTGACAGTCAGTCTGTAAGTGCGCTAATTGGTTGATCGCATTGATGTCGAGAGCCGTGCACGCAGCACCGCACACGAGTGTTTGTGTCCCCCACTCTCTCACTCATTCACTCACTGACCCCCTTGCTCACACGTACGAGAGACAGACAACAGTGTGTCCGGCCATCCATCCCTCTCTCATCCCACTCATCATCCTTCCTCTTGTTCTGTTTTGTTGGCAGCCAGCTACCGAATCAGATGATGGAGACAGACAGCACGGATAAACACACGTACACTGACGCGACACACATGGATTCACATCACTCCCCGGTCCTCTCTCTCCTCTCCTCTCCTCTCTGTCTCTCCTCTCTCTGTCAGCAGTGGTGGCAGCAAATGGTCCGCATCGCATTCAGGCATGCAGACAGACAGACAAGACATGATGGGCACGGGCACGGCAGCATTCACACGCATCACAGCACATCGCATCACACACATGAATCAGTCCACCGATAGATCAATTGGCCTGGAAGATCTAAAAATAGCTCGGTCATTTCATTGGATGGAGTGGGCAGCCCTGCCAGCCGTCCCTCCCTCCCTCCCTCCACAGTCAGTCAGTCGGTCAGTCATGACACACACATGCACATGCACACGCACATTTCGATGAATGAATGGCACGCAGACGACAGCCAGGCAGACAGGCAGGCATACACACGGGGGGCGGTGGGCGGGCAAATCCGCTTGGTACGCAAGAAAGAGACACCAGTCAACACCAAAAAACTTTCCTATGCTTGCCTTGCCCCCATCCATCCGTCCATCCATCCATCCATCCATTCATCCATTCACCTGGCAGGCACCCATTCGCGCAGCCGCCGTCACACCACGCCACCCACACCCATGACAGACACCCATGGCCACCATCCATCCATCTCATCTCATCTCTCCTCTTTGAGCAGCCCATCTCACTTCATTCATCCATCCATTCCATTGCATGGCAGGGGGTCAGGAAGGGCACGCAGCGATCGATTGAGGCCGGCCGGCCGGCAGGCAGGCAGGCAGGACAGGAAAAATACCCTTGGTCGGAAGGCTTGCTTGGTGTAGCTCGCTTACTTTTCGGTGTCAATCAGTCAACCAAATCGATCAGCCAAGAAGCAGCAGAAGGAGAAGGAGAAAGAGCGATGGTCCTATCTCTATCTATCTGTTAGGCTACGTAGCAGCCAGTTAGTGGTGCCGCGCGTGGATGGATGTGTCAGTCAGTAGTCATGTGCTCACAGAGATGGGATGGAGAGAGATGTCAGCAAGAGAGAGAGGGGGAGTGGAGCGAGTAAGCTCTCCCTACCAAGTCCATCCATCCATCCATCCACGTGTGCTGTGCTTTGCTGTGGTGTGTGTTTGTGAGGTGTGTAGACCACAATGGTGAAAAAGCCTCGAGTGAAAAAGACCGTACACAGAGACAGACAGGTAGACAGGCAGACAGAAAATTGAAGGAGGAGGCAATCAACCAACAACAGGCAGGCAGACAGAAAGGCGCCACACGTAAAAATCCTTCCTTTGTCGGTCCATCCATCCATCCGTCCACAAATGCTGCTATGCTGCTGCTGTCCGCCTACCGGCCACCATACACACATTACTTACTTACTCACTTAAACCCTCCGCCGTAGGTATAGGTAGGTAGCTATGTAGCTCGTCACTGACTGCAAAAAGAAGAAGAGACCATGGCATGGCTGACGTAGGCAGGCAGGCAGGCAGGGAGGGAGGCATCTTTCGCGGAGGGGAGTGAGTCAAGTGGGTGGCAGGGGGGGGTGGGTGGGAGGGGGAACAGAGAGGAAGAGGGCGAAGGGAAGAGAACTCGTAAGTAAGTAAGATATCAGGCTGTCTATTCACAGGCAGGCACTTCCTCACACGCCAGTGAACTGAACACGGCACGCAGCCACCCATCCATCCGCCGGTGAGTGGCTGGCTGGCTGGCTGCGTGCATCTCAGCTTCCAAAAATCCAGGACAAACACCACACCCACCACCACCAACAACAACAAACAGCAAACACCTCTGCCCTCTCCCTCCCTCTCTGTCCCCCTCCCCCTCCCCCTCCCCTCTCAGGCCACAAATCGTCACGTGTTGGCGCGCAATGCGATATGAAGCAAAAGCAGCACACGCGCCATGCGACACGACAAGACACGACACACTGCATCACATCAACAGCTAAATGGGGCCATCCGCCGTCACTCACATCACATGAGAGAGTGTGTGTCGGGTCGGGTGGGGTGCGGAAGTAAGTTACGTTAGCAAAGACAGACAGACAGACAGACAGAAAGCCGAGAAAGATCGGTATGACGGATGGGCTGAAGTGAGTGGGTGAGTGAGAAAGATGGAATCGAATCGAATCAAGCACGTAAAGGCAAGGCAAGGCAAGAAAGGGAAGACACTGAATGAATGAGTGAGTGGGCACACGCACACGCACACACATGGACGCACACGAACACTCCATACGTAATCAACGGATGAGAAAAAACATACACACATAGAGAGACAACATGCACACATGGACGGACGTGCACTCATACACACAACATGTACACACCCATACCTGCTTTTCGCGCAACAATTGCGCTTCCCCCCACCCACACCCCTCAGCCCTCACCCTACCCCTCCCACAAATCCCTCCCTCCCTGCCTGCCTCCCGTGGACCGACACACCGTAAAAATAAGACTGACGAGGGCGTGTGTTCAAGGCGGCATTGACCACCACTCTCCCTCTCTCTCTCTCCTTCATTCTTTCCTCTCTCGCACAGAGAAACACACAAAGACGCATTGCATCGCATCGCATCGCTTTCTCGCCAGTCCAGACAGACAGACCGACAGAACGACAGCCTGCCTTGCCAACCAGCAGGCTACCGACAATCGATAGATGTGTAGGGGTGTGTTTGCAGTGATTCATTCCGCCAGACAGACAGACCGACAGCCATCCAGCCGTTATTAAAACCACCGCCCCGCCACACACACATACACACATACACGCACACATGAGGGGACGAATCACTCTGACCAGCCCTGGGCCTGCTGCTGAGTCGGCTGCGGCACCACGTAGCCGTTGGCAGTCACCTGCTGCTGCGGGGCCGCCTGCTGCTGCTGCTGCTGCTGGTAGAGGGGGTGGGCTGCGCCTGGTGGCGGTTGCTGGGCGAGGGCCTGGTCCTGACGCTCGAAGGAATCCAGCTTCTGCTGGATGAGGGCACATGCCTGCTCAACTCCCTCGGCAGAACCCTTGACAGTGCCTGGCAGGTACACAACACACCGACAGACAGACAGCAATGGTGCGGTTCGGTGCGGCGCATCCGGTTTGGTGTGGCTGGTGCGGTGTATGTGGAGTGTGTGGCAATTGATTACAAGTCCTGGTGCCGGGGGGCTGGTCCTGTGTGGCGTCGCGTCTGTCGATGTGGATGTTGGTGCCGCTGCTCTTCTGCAGATCCTCCACCTGGTGGCCCTTGGAACCTGACACGACACACACCGGGACACCAGGACGCACCACGACCGCATCCATGTCGATGGATGTGAGGCGTGTTGCAGTTGGTTCGCTCACCGATTAGCCTCGCCACGTGCTGGTCTGGCACCGGCACCACACGCACACACGTCCTGAACCACACACACACAGACACACAGACATGGTTTCCTTGTCGCACTGCCCGCGCCCCTCCCTCCCTCCCTCCCCTCACCCATCGCTTGTGGCACTGCCGGCCCCGCCATAGCCGTCATAGCCCGCCGTTTGCGGCGGGTACAGCTGCGCCCCGCCGTAGGCCACCCCGCCGGCCACCTGCATGCCCACAGCGGGGAAGGCCCCGCTCATGTTGCCAGACGCCACGATGGGCGCGTTGATCTTGGTCTCGATCAGCTTCTTGGCGTGGTGAATGGCCGACAGGGAACCCTTGATGGTCAGCTGCACAGAGAGAGAGAGAGAGAAGGGCATGAGAGGGCTGTGTTGAGGGGGGGGGAGGGGAGGAGAGAAGCGATGGCTACCCTGCGATGTGGCGCACTGGCCGGTGCGTCATTGATGACATCGATCTTGGTGCCGGACATCTCTTGTATCTCCCTCACCGTGTTGCCCCGCGAGCCGATGATCCGCGCCACAGCGTCGCCCGGCACCACAAACTCTGTCATCGTCAGAGAGCTGTCTGACGGCGGCGAGGGCGTCCCGCTCGCCAGCATCTCCACAGGCCGGCTGTATCCAGCGGCGGCAACGGCCTCCTGCGCACCGGGGGGGTAGTAGCCGCGGAGAGACGCCGCGTACGGCCCACCGGCGGCTGCGAGCGGCGTGCCCGGATACTGCTGCGCCATCGACTGCCCGTACCCTGCCACCAACACGACACACATATATATGCGCAACACACACGCACACGCGCATGTGCCCATCCTTTCTGCTGGCTGGGCGGCTGACCGACCTGGTTCGAGCGGCTCGCCCTGCATGAAGTCTGGTGTGGCCTGGTAGGGCTGCGATGCGGCGGCCGCCATCATGGGCGGCAGCGACTGGTGAGGGGGCCCCAGTGCGTATGCCGTGTAGCCCACCGACATGTGCTGCTGTTGCTGCTGGCTGGGCGCTGCCATGTGGGACGTGGGCATGGGCAAGGGGGACGGGAAGAAGGGATGCGGGTGGCCCGGCTTGGACAAAGCTGAGCGAGAAGGAATGAGTGAAGCGATATCATGTGTGGGTGGTGGTGAGAGAGACTCCCCAGCCCACCTGTGGGGGTGGCGTGTGCAGCGGGGCTGGCTCCACCAGAGGCAAACACCCCTGCACCTCCAGCGGCAGTCGGGCTCGTGCCAACAGTGGTCGGCGTCTACCAACACGCAACCAACCAACACACATCCATCCATCCATCCATATCGATTGTACCGCCCTGCGTGTGCTCCCTCACCGTGAAGACGCGCGAGTGTCGTGAGATGAGGTACTGAGCAGTGGTGCAGCCGGCCGGCGTGCCGGTGATGAGAATGCGCCTGCCGCCGAGTGAGGGGAGCATCTCGCCCTCCGACTCGATGTCGATGTGTGCGCCGCTCTCGTGCTGGACGGCCTTGATGTTGTCGCCGCGCTTGCCGATGATGTACTTGACGCACCCGTTGGGCACCACCAGCTTCAGGATCGTCGGCTGGTTCGGGAAGTTGGCCGCACTGCCCATTGTCTTGTTGCGGACCTGATGAATGAATGAATGAATGGATGGACGAACGAAGGAACGACGCCCATACAAGGGAGACGGGGAGGGAGGGAGGGAGGGAGGGTGTGGTGGGTTGCCTACCTGTTGGCTGATGAGGTGCTGGCATCTCTGTATGGCCACGATGGTGCCGAAGATGGTGAGCTTCCTTTCCGAGAAGTTGGGCATGATCTCGGCCTCGCTCTGCACCTTGACCTCGGCAGCCGACATGCGCTCGATCTCCGCTATGCACTGGCCCTTCGCCCCAATCAACCTGCAAGCAATGCAACCAAACAACGGGCCACTCCAGTCAGGTCACCACACGCACACAGCAAGGCGATGCTGATGCTGCACCATACACACATACTTACGTACCATCCGACAGTGTGGTTTGGGATGAGCATCATCAGCGAGGTGCACGTCCTGTCGACGTCGTCGTTCTTCAAAAAGGCCGCCTCGTTCAGATCGCTCATACTCAAGGGGTACTTAAACTTGTGAGGCTGACCCACACCTCCCACACCGCCCACACCGCCAGCAGCGCTCAGGTTGCTGCTGCTGTGGAGGGGCGTGTGCGTCGCCCCACCCGCCGCGACACCGACAGCAGCCATTGACGCGTGGAAGGGGGGCGAGGTGGGACCCTCGAGCGGCCTGTCGTCGACTTGAGGGCCGTGTGGGTGTGCCGGGGAATGTATGTGGGAGGCAGTCAGGGAGGATGGCTCGCTGAGAGGGTGAGGGGGGAGGGAAGGATGGGGCGAGGTAAAACCCATCGGGACAGACACCACTGAAGGAAGACACAGACGCAAAACACACACAAGTGTGTCTGTCTCCTCGATATGATCACCAACGACACCATATCCTCCCCTCTCTCTCGGCCTGTGTGCCTGCCTGCGTGCCTGCCTGCCTCATCGGCTGGCTGACCTTCATGGCTCTTGGCGTTGTAGGCTGACATGGGGTAAGTGGTGTGCCGAATGGCGTGCGGCTCGGCGCCGGGCATCTGCATCGCACTCATCATCTGCATCGCCGTCGCCGCGCTCATAATAACCACAAACACCACACGCCGCCCTCAATCACAGACACCGCACCGCAGACACACCAAAGCGGCAGCCGCCGCCCAAAGCGCCACCCACACACTCAGATGGTCACTCGACAGGCGACAGGCGTCGAGCAGCGGGCGGCTTGACAGATGAGATGAGACGCTGATTTGATGTCGCAGCAGCAGCGGATTTCAGCGTGTGCTGACGTCGCAGCGATGCTTTCACCACTCGCCCCGGCCGGCTGCGCACACACGTCGGCACACTGTAAGGTCTCCCTCTCTCTGTGCTTTGCTTGTGGCTTGGCGTCAGTCAGCTGATCTGCGGGAGCTGTCTAGTCACATTCCACTTCGGCACACACTGCAGGCCTGAAAGAACCCCGCTGGCGTCTCTGCTGACTGCCCTGCTGCCGTCAGTCAGGTCTTCCGGTGTGGCGGTGAGAGATGCCGCCCCGATCTCGCTGGCCGCAGACGCTGTGGGCCAGATCTTTACTGCTGCCGTGCACTGCGTTGCCCTGACAACCGCAACGCTCCTTATTTGCCGTGGCGCCCACCAAACTGCGAGCTTGCAATATTCTGCGAGCTGTGGGAAGATACGAAGTGATTTTCGTTGATGGGACGGACTCTTGATTGCAGACAGACGAAATGGTCTTAGTAGGACGCTCGCTCATTACCAACAATTACCACACAACGAACGAATGAATGAGATCACTGAGTGTCACCACCATCCAGAACCAAACGCACGGACCGCAGACACGACTCACCTGTCTGTCTGTGTCTGTCTGTCACTCTCACACGACACCCAGACAGGCAGGCAGACAGTCAGACAGGCATGGTGCTTGAAATGGCAAGGTACGGCGGATGGGCTGGTGGCAGGTGGGTGGGGTGAGGTGGGTCGGTACGTATACAACAACGGCGAGGGGGGAGGACGGGATCAACACTGGCCATGAACGAATGTCACACTGACACACGCAGGCAGGGCAGACCAGACCAGACCAGCAACCAATCGGGCACGCTGGCAGGCAGCCAGGCAGGCACTGTGTCGTGGTATGCTATGTATGCCTGTCTGTATGTATGTCTGTCTGCCTGTGTGTGTACCGCATCCATGGTGTAATGGTGTCTGTCTGTTGGTGCCCTTCAAAAAGTGAGGAACGTACGCACCGCACCGCACCGCACCCTGGCTGGCTAGCTGGTCTTGCGTAGTGCACTTAAAGGAATGAGTGGATGGATGGATGGATGGATGGGCACACACACACACGCACGCGACAGACGCGACAGACACCAATTGGCCGCCCACTCCAGTCACTCATTCATTAGTGGATCATCCACACACACATACATACAAGTGCCGCAGCAGATAGCGCCCCCGTGCCGAAGGGAGAGTGAAGAGGCACAAAAATCGCCACGCAGCACCCAGGCAACAAACTCTCACTCGACCTCATCCCCCCCACCCCACCCCACCCCACCTCTGCCTTCATCCATCTTGTTGTCATTTTTACGTGTGTGTGTCGGTGTGTGTATTGTCTGTGTGAGAGTCTGGAGCAATGAGCAGGCACAAGCACGGCACCCGGCCGGCACACAGCACTGTCTCCCTCCCTCCGTCCCTCCCTCGCACCGCACCGCAAAAGTAAGCGAGCGGGCGTCTTCACACCACCAGCAGATGAAGCAAGCGACCACACACCACACCACACCAAACCACACCACAGCCCCCGCTATCACGCCATCACGCCGACGCCCACGCACATCCATCCATCCATGCATCCATTCGGCCACGGCACATAATCGACTGGTCGATCCTTCCTGTCGTCCTTGCTGTCTTCATTGGTTCATTCCTTCCTGTACTCACTCAGTCACTCACTGCTGTACGTCAGTCAGTCCGATAGGTGGCTGGCTATGTTATCGACAAAAAACGCAGAAGCCTCATCTCACTCACTCACAGACACACAGACAGATAGATAGGAACCTCAGCTCTCCTTCCTTCCTCGCTGAGCTGAGCTGACCTGACTGACCTGAGCTATATATAGGTGATAAACGAATTAGACACATACATACACACAACATCACAGGCCATGCGACACCCCCCAACCTTCCCCACCCCACCCACATCCCTCCCTCATCCCCTCTTCACTGTTGCCCTCTCGCTCCATCCACCATTCATCCATTCATCCAGTCATTCAATCAATCAGGAGCCATCCCTCCCTCCCTCCCTGTCACTCGTCTGTCTAGCTGTCGGGCTGTCATAAAGGTCAGCCCGCCCCGCCCCGCCCCGCCCCGCCCCGCCCGCCGCGCGAATGAATCAGACAGACATTCAAGAGAAGAAAAGGCCAACCAGCATCGACAGGCAAGCAGACAGCCGAGGCGAGATGAATGAATGAATGAATGCATCACCACGAAGACAGACACGAAGAAAGGAAGGCGCACACACACAAGAGGGCATGCACACGAGAGAGCAGAGGAGTCATGTCATGTAGCAAGGCAAAGCAAGGCAAGGTAGAGTGAGTCAGTGAGTCATTGAGCCGGCAAGTGGTTGTCGTCTCAATCAACGTATCAATGAATGTCTCTCCGTCATGCGTCCGTCAGGTCTGCATCCATCGCCGGAGGATAACAAATACACCACACAAGACTCATTCATTCAAGCAGCCAGCCAGCCAGCCACTCACCTTCCTGCCGTCTGCCGGTCTGTCTGTCAATGCATTCAGTGAAAGGCGGGCGGACAATCGCCCCCACGCAGCGCAGGTGCGCACACATAAATCCTCCCACCCGCCCTCACAGCCCCATAGTCAGTCAGAACCCTTGGCACACACCTACACGAGGGACGATCGTTCGTTCGTCCTTCCCCCTCCTTCCCCCCCTTTGTGTCTGTCTCTTCCTTCCCGCGCCCAGCCAGGCAGGCAGGCAGACAGGCAGACAAACAGGCGGGCAGGCGGGCACAATGCGGGAGATGATGAGCATGGACCACCATGTGCAGCAGTGCAAGGAGTGGAGTGGATGCGGGTGAAGGAGATAGAGAGCGCAGCGCCCTCCTGCGTCGCTTTTGCACGTGCCGAGAGCGCTGCCCCCCCGTCCCCCGCATCTCCACACACCCAGGCATGCACGCCATGCATGCCATGCTGTTCAATAATGAATGCCGTTCGTCTCACCACACACCGTACCGTAGACCACACAGTGCCGCCCCCGGCCCCCCAGCCCTTCCTCCCGCACGTCGACCGACCGCTGTGTGTATGTCGATCGACGTGTTGTCGACAGATGGATGGATGGATGGATGGCCTGTCAGCCTGCCTGCCTGACTGCCTGAAAGTCTATCTACGCAGGGCAGGCCAGGCCAGGAGAGGCCGGACAGGCCATTGTGTCTGGAGGGATACACACAGGACGGCACACACCACCAGGGAGACACACAGACGGTAAGAAAGCCATGCCAGACGGCGAGACAGACAGACAGACAGACAGATAGACAGACGGACAGGTTAGCGGAGAAGGGTGAAAAACAGCCTCACATCAATCAGGTTGGCAGCTACCACAGGGCAGAGCAGAGCAGAGCAGTCAGTACACGCACACACACACACACGCACGCACGCACGACGCCCACACAGCACCCCCACTCCCCAACCTCCCCCCCTCCCCACCTGCACAGGCGTATCAAAGTCAATCAACCGAGGAAAGCCATTCGATCAGCCATTCAGCCATTCGACAAGTAAGTCCTCCTCCTGTGCGCCCGCACCTAAAGGCCCGTGCAGCAGCAGAAGGGAAACACAACACAACACACACACAACACAGACATGCACAGTTACCTACCTAAGTGCCTATCGATGAGGCGGTATGGTTGCTCTGGGTGGGTGGCTGGGTTGGTGGGGCCACAGCCACGGATCTCTCGTCAGCGAGAGCGGGTCAGTCAGTCAATCAAAACCACCACACGAACAACACGAATAACACGCACTCAGACGATAGACAGACAGAGAAAGAGAGAAAAAGACAACAGCGGCCGTCGATCAAATGAGTGAGTGAGTGGGTGGGTGAGTGGATGGATGGTGGGATGGGTGGTGGGATGGGTGTGTCGAGGCGAGAATGGAACCAAAAGCGTATGTATGTATGGGTGTGTTTGTGTGAGTGGTGTGGATGACACACACACGTGTGGTGTGCTGTGGTGCACTCATTAAGCCTAATCGTCTCAGAGCACCGCAAAAAGCGCTGTGAGCGAAATATATGGGAGAGAGAGTGGGAGAGAGCGATGCGGTGGGTATTAAGCACTGCGATGGAGCGATTGGGTGTGGGTGTGGTGGGCTGTGGAGACACACATACACACACACACACATGCACATGGACATGCACACGACCACACGACACGATGTGATTCGATGAACAGGTGGCTGCTCTGCTCTGCGCTGCGCTGCTCTGCTCTCTCTGAGCAAGTCAGTCGGTGTGTGTGTGTTGGGTAGGTCGGCAGGAAGCTAGGTACGTATGTAGGTATGCAGTCGGACGGAGGGAGGCACAAACCCTCCCTCCCTCCCTCATCGCTGCTCTCGTCTCACTCGCAAGAGCATCTCTACCCAACACACACACACACGCCGTATGTATAAGTACCGACAGACAGACAGACAGAAAGACCCTCGTTCGCCCAATCCCCCCCCCCC